TAAAAAAAAAAAAAATATATATATATATAATAACCATAGGCATGTTCATCCTTGGCTCCCTCTCACTCCAAGCCTTAATTTTCTCACCTTCTGTGAAAGAAGCAATTCACAGGACCTTTTACCAGCTGAAATGAGCTAATGTTTGTAAACCCATGAGCACAAGGTCCGACGGGAAATCCACAGCCTATTAAGATTAATCATCCTTATTCATCCATTCAACAGATAATTCCTCTCAATTATTAAGTTTTTATTGTGTGCCAATCATTGTGCTAAGGGTCCATTTAATCCTGACGCCAAACTGATGAGGTATTATCATGATTCCCATTTCTCAAATGGGGAAAGTGAAGGATCGCAAGCCTAAATATCTTACCCAAGCGGAGATCCACAGCCCAAGCCGGGCTGACACTAAGTCTCACATAATTCCCCACCACTGCCTTGGGGATATAAAACTATGCAGTAGGTATTTGCTCTGTTAGGCGTGGGACTTCTATAGCAGTCCCTGTGCACGAGGGACATGAGGTATGCGTCGAGATGAATGGACAGAGGAGCAGTAAGTGAGTGAGTGAACCTGGGTAGGGCTGGGTCGGTCCATGAGGGCTGTTCTGGGAACGAAGACCTCCGACTGCTCTGTGCACTGTGCACCTGGTCTTGTTAGCACCTGCTCCCGAGCTGCGGATGAAAATTGACTCCTTTTCTCATGATCGCTGAGCCCTTGCAACCTGGGCACACACACGGATGACTTCGCAGTTACTGTCCCCTCCACCACTTTAACACCATATACTCTGCCCCTCGAGCTTCTGCAAACAGCCCAGGTGCGGCCTTCCTCCAACACTGACTCAGAAGTTCTGAGATAAAACCTAAAATAAGACCAACGGAGTTGCCCAGCTTGCCAAGTACTGATAAATACGGGTGTTTAGCAATTTCACCATCACCCGTCAGGGGGCGCTAGTAAGCCCGAAGGAGAGTGTCCAGAATCCGCCTGAAAGTGGCTATTGACTTCGGAAGAGACATCTTCCTTTTTGAATTTTGGGGTCCCCATCTGTGAACGGATCACTGCTAACTCCTTGTCTGGCATCCGACACAACGTAGGAGCTCAACAGACTTGGAGTGAATGGCTGAACCGGAAGACTAGAGATAAGGAATGAATGAAGGCTTTTGAACCTTCAAAGAATGAGCCCTTGGGTCCCTAACGCGAGAACCGAGGAAGCTCAAAGCCTTTCCCTTCCCTCTGAGCCTAGGAAGGGGGCGCCTCCGGCTGTGGGTGTCTCCCACGTTGCGCCGCCGGGACCAGCAGGGTGACTCCCTGTGAGGAGCACTGGGGTGGCGCCAGCCTCCTGCGATCCTCCAGTGGGCGGGCAGCTGGGCCTTAGAACTGGCCCGTTGCGGGGCTGGGCTGAAGACCCGAGTGGGCGTGACGCAGGGACGTGGGCGGGCCTTGAGAGGGGCGGGGCGATGGCCATTGAGACCCAGAAAAGTAATTGGTAAAAAAGAAACAACACAGCCCGAAAGGTAGAGATCAGAAAAAGAACGAAGCTAGCCTGGTTGGCCCAGGGATGCACACTTTGTGAGAACCAGTGGGAAGGAGCCCGAGCTGCTAGAACCTATTCCCTGTGAATTCATGGCCAAACAGGTGAAAAAAAAAAAAATCCCTAAACTCAGCTTGGTGGCACCTGTAATCCCAGTACTCTGGGAGGCTGAGGCAGAAGACTGCAAGCTCGACCCCATCCTGGGCAATTTAGTGACTTCGACTGACAATGGGTCTCCGTAGGTAGTCCAGACTGGCCTCGAACTCACGGTGAGCCTTCTCCTCAACCTCCTGTGCTTGGGATTAAAGGTATAAATCACCATGTCCAGCTAGAGAGACGTGTTTCAAAATATAAAATAAGTAAAGAGGCTGGAGGTGTAGCTCAATACAAAGGCCCTGGGTTCAATCCCTAATACAGGGGGTGGGGGACCAAAAAGACCTCTGGACTGTAAAAATATTTCTCTTAATTGAATGCAAGTGTTGTGTCCGTTCCCCCTAAAAATATTTAAAAATTTTAAATGGTAGTGGTAGCACACCTTGCACTCTGGCCAGAGTGACACGTTCTGGGTTTGTATTAAATACAGAAAGCTAACACTTAACAATCAGGATTAGTGATAAAAGTTGGAATATGAGCCCTCAGATAAACATGAGTTCTGACCTTAGGACTATCCTGGAGCAAGCCCCCCCACAAATTCCCTTTTATTAGGAAAAACCTGACTGGAATTCAAAGCTATGTGCCAGGCACTGTTGTAGACACTCTAAATGGACTAACTCATTTAATCTCTGTAACAACCCTATGAGTTGCCTACTAAAACCATCCTCATGAGATGATGAGGCTGAAACATGAAGGCTGTCTCCCGGGGTCCAGTAATGATTAGAAAAGGCACTTGAATAGAGCTCTGACTCTGAAACCCTAGCTCTATTGAACAGGGCTAAACAAAGTAGCAAGGGCGTGAGTTTTGCGAAGCCAGATGTTTGGTTAACAATGATCCTTCAACAGTGGTGCACCTCAAAGTCTGGAAGAGGAGAGGGTGGTTGCTTTAAATTTAAAGTCATTACCTGGGGGCAGCTCAGTGGTACAGTCCGTGCTTAATGTGCATGGAGTTCCAGGTTCAATCTCCACCACCAAAAAATTAAATGAACAAGTAAATAAAAACTCAGATTTGACCCCTATCTACCACTGTTTTGTTTGTAGGATTTTGATAGGGTATGAACATTCGCATTTTGAACAGACTTCTTGGTGATTTTGAAGAAATAAGTCTACAGGTGGCAGTTAGAGGGAGCATTGGTCCTCGGTATGGACAGGTTCTACATTTTCAGAGATGGAAAATGTTCAGAGGGAAAAATGTTTCTGTACTGACTTATTTTTCCTGTCATTATCACTAAGTGATACGGTATAACGACTATTTACATGGCATTTACTTTGTAGTGGGTGTTAGTATGTCACCTAGAGATGACGAAGTATATGGGATGGTGTTTCTACGTCATATTCAAATACTATGCCATTTTATGTAAGGGACTTGAACACCTATGGAATTTGGTATCTGTAGGGTGGTTCTGGAACCGATTTTGAGTACAACTGCACAGTAAATATCCAGATGACCTCTGCAGTCTCCTTTGTGGAAGGCAACAAGGGCAAAGAAAGACTTTTGGATAGGTGAGAGACAACTGACAGGGTGCCTATAAATGAGCATCAAGCCGAGCATGGTGATGCACCCCTGTAATCCCCACACTCAGAAAGCTAAGGATGACAGCGATTTGGAAACGGACACGTTAGGCTACCTACAAGGGTGGAACGAGGCACTGCGATCCCACCCCAGGCCGCAGGGGGCGCCACTCTGCTTTTCTCCAGCAGGAAAGGGGGCCCTGGTATCTTTCTGCGCTTGCGGCACAAGGAAATGTCATTTCCGCCTAGGCGCGCACCCGGCTGGGAAGTGAGTGAAACTCGGTATTTATCTGGAGTGTGAAGCTTATCGCCTCGTAGTGCCCTTCTCTCTTTGGGTCTTGGGGACACTCGCCTCTCTCTGAGCGACCCCCAACAATACACCCTGTAGCCCAGGCACTCTGTCAGTCAGCGTCGAGGCCCAGTGCTGTTCTCGTCCCACCATACCCGCCTCCTCCGCCAGTCTGACTTCGTTCACCATCCACATCCCTCACACGCCCCTGTACTTCCCCCAAGCATCCTCCGAGATCTGATCTCCCCTTAGAGCACTTGCGCAGGGATGGGGAAAGTGCTTTATATGAAGAAGAGGCCTCTCCATACCACTGAGCGCCTCCTTCCCCGCTCTTTGCAGACTGTAACCATGAAGTTTAACCCCCCTTCTCGTCCTCCGACCTCAGCAAAAAACGCAAACCCCACTTCATTGCCCCCTCGCACGTGCGCCGAAAGATCACGTCGTCCCGTCTTTCCAAGGAACTGCGACAGAAATACAACTTCCGCTCCATGCCCGTCCGCAGGGGCGGTGAGGGCCAGGTACATCCCCCGTCTTCCTCAGGTTCTAGTGACCCAGTTGTGTGACGTATGGCCACTTCCTTTGCATGAAAACATCCTTTGTGCTTGGACCCGGAGGAGTCAGGACCCTCAGATCCTAAAGACTCTAGCAAGTCTTTTAACTCTGTAGATGTGCTATACCAGAGATGGATCCCAGAGCCACTAGAAAGTGAGCGCAGGTCTTTAGTAATAGTAAATAAAAACAACTAAGCACGCGCGCGCTCACACACACACACACACAATCTGTTGTTTTGGTTTTTTTCCCTCATTGAGTTTATTGGTACATTTTAGGTATACAGTACAGTTACATTCATTATTGGAATCTTGTACCTTTACATGACAGATCTTGGTTCTCATTTTTTCCCCTTGTCCCTGCCCTCCCTTCACCCCCCCTCCTCCTTTACAAACATTTAAAAAATTTGTCCCGTAGTGTTTAATTTGCTAGGTATTGCTGTGGGGGGGGCTCTTTGAACCAATCTAAGGGGAAAAGGCTTCTGTGAGAGTAGGATGAGTTCAGTGGGTTTGATGGACAGGGTCTTGTGGGAGCTGGTCATGTTACTAGATTTGGCGGGAAAAACGGAGACGCAACAGCAGGGCAGAGGTGCAAAATTATGAACCTCTGTAGCCCATGTATGAAAGTATAACTCTTCTGTTCTCTGTGACTGGAGCTTAGGATTTATGGAGGGGGGGATGATGTTGGAAGTGAAAGAAATAACGGGCTAGATTCCTCAGTGGAAGGAATATTTATTGAACACTTAGCAAACATTAGTCTAGATACTAGCAGAGAGCAAGTTTGATAAAAACCTTGTTCCCGTGCAGCTCATTAAAAGTTTAAAGCAGAGAAATAGGAAGAAAAGGGCTAAAGGTGTAGGGAAAGTGGGAAGGGTAGGGGAAAGGTAATAAGGGAAAGAAAAAAAAATATGAGAAACTGAAAAAATTGAAATAAAATGTTTGTAAATGGGGAGGGGAGGAGGGGGTGAAGGGAGGGCAGGACAAGGGGAAAAAATGAGAAGCAAGACCTGTCATGTAAAAGTACAGGATCACAATAATGAACGTAACTGTACTGTATACTTAAAATGTACTGATAAACTCAATGAGGAAAAAAAAAAGTTTAAAGTAGGGATTCTCAGCCTCAGTACTGTTGAGATTTTGAACGTGGTAATTATGGGCAGGGCCAACTGCCCTGTGCATTGTAGACTGCTTAGCAGCAACCCTGGCTTCTCCAACACCAGATACCAGTAGTACTTCTCCCCCTTTTGCCACTTGGACAAGCAAAAATATTTCCAGATATTGCCAAATGCCCCCTTAGGCAAATTGTTTTAGAAAATGAAAGGAGATAATATGAAGGGGTTCGGTGTATCCTCAGAGACACTGGCTTCTTCAAAGGTTGAGGGTTATACTGAGGATAAGTAAGGCTGAGAATGTGACAGAAGTGAGAGGTGCAGTTCACATATGTGATCGGTAGTTACAGTCTCTTCTCTCCTGGATCCTTCCTGTTAGACGTTCTAGAATGAGAGAATTGCAAGTGCGTATAGTGGGTAGGCAAACAAATGAAGAAAAGTGGACTGATAAGAAAGTTTCAGTCTGGAAAGCTCAGGCCTCATTTAAAGGAAACAGTTATACATGTTCAACCCATTGCAACCTGGGAGAAATGCAAGCTCAGTGAAGTCAGATTCTTCAGTTTGCAAGAGAACTGAAAAATTCAGATTCTTTTCCAGCCCTGCATATCCATCCAGCTCCTACTCTTTCCCCATTTCCGAGTCAAGCTCCTCAAGAGTTGTCTACCTGGGCACAGCGGCACATGCCTGTAATCCTAGCACTCAGGAAGCTAAGGCAGGAGGATCACCACAAGTTCGAGGCCAGCCTGGGGTACATAGTGTGTTCAAATTTAGCCTGAACTATATAATGAGATCCTGTCTCACAAAAAAAGAGTTGTCTATATTTCACACTCTTAGGTACCTTCCAGTCTCATCTCTATCCCTACTTCTTTATAAAAACTACTTTTGGCTGAGGTCCCCAGTAACCTCTTTGTGTCTAAATCCAGAGGACACATTTTGGTCTTGTCATACTTGACTTTTTCAGCAGCATTTGACATAAGTGGTACCCACTAAGTTGAGATGGCCTCTGTGGCTCTTTTGATACCTCAAGCTCACAGTATGCTTTCATCTTATCAGACTAGCTATGTCTTCTCTCCCTGATCCCTGTCTCTTACAGATCGTTGGGGTCTGGGCCTAGTCTTGCATCTCTTTTGCCCTATATTTTCTACCTAAGTATATACCTATACTAATAGGTAGCATTAGTATTCTATTTTCCAAACTTTAAATGTCCGCTCTGTGCATCCTTCTTTTATCAGGTAATACAACTCATACTTGAGAGGCATTCAAAAAGGGCACATTTCCCTGATCCTTTTTTAACTCACTGTCCACAGCCATTTAGTCAGTAATTTTTTCATTCATTCAGTAGGTATCAACTGAGAACCTGATTCCCTTATTTCACTTCTCAGCCCAGATCTACACATCTGCCTACCTGCTCAACATCTCTGGATATCTTGTAGACAGCTAAAGCTTCTTAGCCAAGAACTCTCTTGATACTAACACCCCCAGTACTTCCAAAAATCTGATTCTTCTCCCATCTTCCACAATTCAGTGAGTGATACACCTTCCCAGTTACAAATGCCATAAACCTTTAAGTTATCCTTAACAACTTTCCCTAGCGTTTTTTTTTTTTTTTTTTTTTTTTTTTTTTTTTTTTTTCCTGGTTTTTTTTTTTTTTTTTTTTTTTTTTTTTTTTGGTACCGGTGATCGAACTCGGGTCCTTGCGTTTGCAAAGCAGGTGCTGGAACTACTGAGCTAAATCTCCAGCCCTGTGGCCCTTGATCTTTTCTCTCTCTACCTGGAGTGTCTCTCTCCTCTTTGCCTGGCTAACTTCTCCCACCACACCCCAGTGCCTAGGAATTGAATCCAGAGCCTTCTCATTGAGCTACATCCCCAAGCCTTTTGTGTTTTTTATTTTGAGACAGGGTCTCTCAGAGTTGCTAAGTTGCCCAAGCTAGGCTCAAACTTGTAATCCTCCTGCCTCAGCTTCCCAAAATGCTGGGATTATAGGCAACTACCAACATGCTGGAGTCCCCTTTTTGTTGTTGTTGTTGTTTTGTTTGTTTTGTACCAGGGATCGAACTCAGGATCTTGTACTTGCATGGCAAGAGGCAGAACCACTGAGCTAAATCCCTAGCCCAGGAGTCCTCATTTTTTTTATGTCAGTTCCTCAGAAAAGCCTTCCCTTACACTTTAATATATATTATACTATTACATCCTTCTTTCCCTTTGTAGCCATGAACATAATCCATAGTCACTTAAAAAAGAAAAATATTTTGATTATAATTCAATACATAAAATACTCAGGTAGCTATTACCGTAATTACTTATTAACTGCCTACTTCTGTACTCAGTAGGCTAAGCTCCAAGAGGCCAAAGAGTTTGTCTTGTTTGCTACCTGAGCCTGGCACATGGCAGGGTGTTCAGTCAATAACTTGTTAAATGGATGGGAAAAATACTAAGTGTGGATGGTGAGGTAAAGGAGGAGTAGGGCAGATAGGCTTGTTTTTGAATGCCTCTGAGGTATAAGTTGTGTTTCCTTACACTCAGGTTAAATGATACAGCAAATGAGTGCTGCAGCTAGGAATTCAGGTCTCTGGATTTCTAAGACCATTTTTCTCCACTAGGAGAATAAAATACTCTCAACTGTTTGTTAAAACTGCCTTTTCTGGCAGGTATCGTGGTGCCAGTTTGTAATTCCAGTATTGAGGAGGCCAATGCAAGAGGTTTGCACATTGAGGCTAGCCTGGGCAACTAAACAGGACCCTGTCTCAAAAAATAAAAATAAAAAAGGTCTGAGATAGCTAAGTGGTAGAGTGCTTGCCAAGGCCCTGAGTTCAAACCTCGTACCACAAAAGAAAACAGTAACAAAAACTTGCCTCTTCTCTCTTGGGATCACTTTGTTTTGTTTTATTTTGTGGCAGGGAAGACTTGTTTCATTTTGTTTTTAAGACAAAGTCTCCAGACATTACTAGGGTGTTCTCAAACTCCTGGACTCAAGTGATCTTTTCCCTTCCTCCTGAGTGGCAGGGCTGGTCATAACTCTTCCACACTTGGCTTTCTCTTGGTATCTTCTGAACTGCACTTACCTCTTGAAGAAGTTGGAGCTTCCTCCTCCTTTACAGAGAAAATTGCAGCTGGCTCTGTCTTCACCCACTTCACCTTCTTACACGGTGCATTCATCGCCTCCTTTGAACACTGTCCACACTCATTGCCTTCCTGTGAGCACCATCCACACCACCCTCTCCACCGGATGTGCTCTAGTCACCTTTCCACATCTATCGAATATTTTATCTGCCCTGGACTTGACAGTTCACAGCATTTGACATTCTTTTGGCTACTGTAACACATATGCCTGTGGCTTCCTTTTCTTTCTGGCTTCTCTAGTCTCTTTTAAGCTCTTCCAGAATGTTGATGTGGCTCACCTTTTTGTTTTCTGACTTATCACAAGCCTCCTGAGTAAATTAAGGCTTTGAATTGTGTCTTTGTGAGGCTCCCATGTCTGGCCCTCACAGCCTTCCAGGGGTTTGTCAGATTCCCTGCTACTGTGTTACCAGACGCCTCAAATTCAGCATGGTCCAAACTTGAAATGATCTTCCCTTTAAATCTGTCCTTCTGTGTTTCATACCTGGGGCGCAGGGGGCGGTAGTCAGCCTAGTGTATCCTGATGGTCTGTGTTTATATGGACCTGTGTGGATTTTTCAATGAGCCATGGCTGTCCTCTTTTCAACCTGAAAATCACCTTGGAGAAAAAGCTGAACAGTCTAGATAGGTTATTTAGGAATATTTAGCTCTAGTTATTTCTATATTGTATTTCTTCTATGTTTATTAATCAGTATCACTTATATGTATATACTGTGTAATAGACCTTCAGGAAAACCATAATCTTGTTTTTGTTTTGTGTGTGTGTGTGTGTGTGTGTGTGTGTGTGTGTGTGTGTTTGTTGTTGTTTTTTGTAGTTATAGAGATTGAACCCAGGGCCTAGTGCATAAAACATATGCTGTACCATTGAGTTATACCTCTAGCCCAAGAACTATTTTCTTATTTTTTCTATTTTGAGACAGATTTCTAAATTGCTCAGGCTGACCTTGAACTTGTGATCCTCCTGCCTCAGCCTCCCAAGTAGCTAGAATTATAGGTATGCACTGCTATTCTGTCCTACTTTGGTTTGTTTTTATTTTTGTTTCTTCCTCCTCCTCCTCCTCCCCCTCTCCCTCCCTCTCCCCCCTCCTCTTCCTCCTCCTCCTTTTTCTTTTTGTACTGCGGCTTGAACTTAGAACCTTTTGCTTGCGAGACAGGCAGCAGCACCACTGAGCTAAATCCCCAGCCCTAGAGTAGACCTTTAATATGGAAACAGCACATGAAATTTATTTGGATTGTGGAAATCTTGAAATTTAGAAGAATTTAAATTTAAAGCAATAATCACCTGTAATCCTACTTCCTGCTGAGATTACTATTCATCCACTGCATTAAATGTTATATATATGAATCTCAGGGTGTATATATACACACATATATTCCTTTTTTCTCTCTAAAGCTCATATCTGGATCATTTCCCTAGTCAATAAAATATTTCTTTTTTATTGTCTTTAACTATTTTTCTATATTTAGATCTTGAGAGGTGTTTTCCTTTTTAATTATTAGGATTAGTTCTGTGGTGACCATCCTAGTCCAGAGAGGTTTTTTTGGTTGTTATTCTTCGGGTGAAAGAAAAAATAAATTCAGGTGAAGGGGCTGTGGATTTACCTCAGTGGCACCACACCTGCCTTACAAGTTAGGGTCCTGAGTTTGATCTCTGGAACCAAAAAAAAAATCAGATGAAAATTTTCTAGCCAACTTGCAGTACCTGGCATAGCACAAAGTAAGTTTATACCACAAATACTACTGGTTTTGACTGCCAAGACTTAATTTGTTTTTGTACAAAAGGTTATGTACATAGCTTACATGAGGATAATTAGCTTCCTCGTTGTGACCTTCAAACATTAAGAATGGGGTTCTGTTTTATACTTGCTCTTAGGTGGTTCGAGGACACTAAAAATTAGCAAGGTCGTTCAGGTGTAGAGAAAGAAATACATCATCTACATCGAGCGAGTGCAGTGTGAGAAGGCACAGGCACCACTGTCCATGTGGGCATTCACCCAAGCAAGGTATGGTCCCTGAGTGGTGGCAGCAGCCATTTAAATGGTGTAGAGTTATTGGCACATTGGTACCATCTGCACAGGTGGCCAAGGTAAGAGCTTAGCAGGCAGGCTTGATTGATTATCTGTTTTGCCATCCTGGTGATATCTTGAAGCTAGTGGCAAGAGGGCTCCAGGTATCTGAGCATCCCACTCCACAGTGGGAGAAGGGGAATATCTTGGACCTTCATGCCCATCTAGTAGGACATGCTGTTCTGCTTTTGCACTCTTGTT